GCCCAAGCATGTGCCCTGCAGACACCTAGGATGCTGTGGCTGCATCCAGGGACCCTACGCCAGGGTGCTGAGCTTCTCGGCAGAGCGAGCCCTCCCTCCTGACACCTGCAGCGCGCGTGTCCGAGCCCCGAGGCCATCTGGGAAGCCAGGCTGCACGGTCTGTGCCAAGCGCCCGCAGCAGTCCCATGGAGACAGCTGGTTTTGGAGGTCAGGGTGCCTCGTGGGCACCAGAGCCACCGTGTGCCTGGGTGTTGGGGAGCTTTTCCACCACCCCACTGCCCCTCCAGCCAGGGGAGGGCCCACGCCACATTGGCTTCTTGTGAGCCTTCTCATTTTTAGAAGAGTCGTGAAAACAAACAGCAGTTTTAACATTTTGCCCTTTTTCAGAACTATCTTAAAGACTTTGTCATTACAGTAATCAAAGTGTAATTCTAACTTAATAGCGAGAAGTAACACTTTGCACATGAATTTGTCAAGACCGAAAGAATTTTAGATCCCATCGTTTCACCTTCCTGGCAGGAAACTGACCTAAAACCTCTGCCCAGCTACAGCGAAGGGTTTCTTTGATTCTCCGAGGCCGTAAGTTGCCCGTGCTCTGCGTTGGTGGCGTAGGCCATCTGCGCAGCTCCTGAGCACCTGACGTCTTAAGGGAAGAGGCACCCTTGACCTTTCCTGTGACCTGACCTGCTCTCCTTCCCTGGCACGACTGTGGCTGCCCAACCCTGACAGTAAAAGCTCCGTTCCACGAGAAGGTAAAGCCACTTGTCATGCAGCCCATGGTGACAAGCAGATCTGCTGGCCGGGAACACCAGGGCTGAGCTGGCCAGCGTCTGTGCCTTGTGATCTCTGGCAGGAGAGGGCTGACGGCTGCACTGCCTTCAGTGTCGTGGGCCCGGGTTGTGTCACTGGGTGCCATGTGTCCCATAGGAGGCACCTATCAAGGAGGACGTGGGTGAGAATCAAGCGTGTTCAGGAAACACGGGGCCTGCAGGAAGAGCTGCTGCACCCCGAGGAGGCGCTCTCAGCCGGCTGGGCACGCGTGGAAGTGACTCCTGCCCCAGCCTGCACCTGCACACTGCAGCCAAGTCCCCTCGGAAGTCAGTTGGCAGCTCAGGACTGCCCAGACAGGGCCACCAGCGCGTCACCGCGAGAGCAGCAGCCTCAAGCTGGTGCCCAATGAAATGGTGGGAAAAAAGCTGAAAACAAAACACTGCTCATTGCTGGAGCCCCGAAGGGAATGCGCACAGTTGAGAATGATTTGTGTCCGTGTGGTGGAAATCGGTCCCGTCTTCCCCACTTTCCACAACTTAGGAGGAGGGAGAAGAAGCCGGCATTACTAAGCACTGCGGAAGAGCAATTTAACAGGGATCAGCACAGACGCGGTAGGAAAGGGCGGGCCCTGGACTTTCCCTGCTGGCTGTGGGCCAGGGCTGTCCTCGCATGGCATGGCAGACTCCCCAGCTCCGGCCTTAGTTTGTGTTGTTGTTGTTGTTTCTGGTACTCTTAGACTCAAATACCTGATAGTCGGAACTCAGTGTTTCTGGCCTCACCACATTTTGGCTAATTGTATTTGCTTCCTTTTGCTATTATAACAAATTACTTCAAGCTACACATTTACCAGTGTGTGAAATTTACCACATTTCACAATTCTAAGGGCCAGAAATTCGAAACCCACCTCGGGGCTAAGCTCCTTCCTGAGGCTCTGGGGGAGGATCTCTTCTCTCCCTCTCCCTGTGTCTGGTGGCCACAGCCTGCACTCCTTGGCCTGTGGCCTCCTCCTTCACTTTCAGCTCCAGCATCACAGCTCTTCTCTGCCTCTGACCCTGTCGTGAGGTCCCTTGTGATGATGGCAGGCTCACCTTTATAACCCAGAGTTTTCTTCCCAACTCGCAGTCCTTAGCGTAATCCAACTGTAGTGTGCGTCACCACAGGGCAAACGGTGGGCAAGGTCCCTGAGCCAGGCCTGTGTCACCAGCCCTCCTGGTGTGTGGCCTGCTGCTGGGCAGGGCAACTTGGATGTCCCAGTCTGGTTTACAGCTGGGTCTGCACCTGTGCTGACACTGCTGTGCAGCCAGCTTGCTGCCGTGTCCTAGGCCCTCCTGGTGGGGAGCAGTGTGTCTTGTTCTCAGAATGCTGAGAGCATGCTGCTGGAAGTCCCGCCAAGCTAGCCGCAGAATTGCAGGAAGTTCCAAATTCCTCCCAAGGCTCCACCCACCCACCCCACCTCCCCAAGCGACTGCTCAAGGCCTCTGCCAGGCTGTCCCAGGTGCTGGGGAAATCAGAGTTTGAGCAAAGCGCTGGAGGTGGGGTGTGTCGGGCCTCGATGCTGCAGTCACGCTGCAGCTCCCCTGCAGCTAGAGGCAGCTGGGACAGGCCCGGGCCCTCCTCTCTCCTCACAGCTGCCACCTCTGCTTACCACTCTCCAGGTCCTTGCCCGCCTTCCTACAGGGCTCCCCACCATGTGGAGCCTTTTCTGGCCCCCTCAGCCTCTCTGCCCTCCAGGAGCAGCTGCCTTTGCTGCCTGGGGGCCTATGTGTAGCTCTTGGGGTGGGGGGCTGCTGCTGTCTTCTCCTGATTTGTCCCTCGTTTCCCCAGACTGCTTTGGGCCTTGACCCTGCAGCGCTCCGGGTGCATGGGGGCCCAGGTTCTGCTTAGGTTTTTATTTAATCAGCTGTCCCCCCGTCCCCCGCAGCCACAGGCTGGTCCACAACCCCAGCAGCTCCCTTCTGGAGGCTGACTCACAGGAACGCAACAGCATGTGGAGTGAGGGCTGACAGGAGTGTCCCCAAGGACACGAGTCCCAGTTGGTGCTGAGCCCTGCCCCTCTCCCAAGTCCTGCTATCTCCCCCCTGGACACAGAAACCCAGTGTCTCAGAGTCAGGGACAGCAGGGGATCTCGGGGCTCTTGTTGGTTCTCAGCCTCACACCCAGGGCCAGGCCCTGTGGCCTTTCTGGCTATGGGGACTCCTTTCTTGTCCTGCCCAGTGGTCACCACAAGCCATCTGCGTTGTTGTGATAACGAGAAGAAACCACCAGCGCTCGTTTCTTTCTGACCCTTCCCACGAGCGCTCACAGCAGTGATCACGGGAGGTGGAATTCCCTGCCCCGCATGCCCGCGTCCAGGCAGGCCGGCGGCCTCTGGGCCCACGCTGCAGGACACGGAGCTTCCTGTCGCCGCCATTGCTTCTGCACTTACTGTGTTTATCAGCACGGTGGCTAATGCTGCGGCATGTTTCTCCACATCACTGGATGTGGGGTGGTTTTTTTTTTTAGTCTTTTGAATTATTTTCTAAAGACAAATTCCAAGTGCATGAATTCCCAAATCAGAGGGAAGGAGTGAACAAGAATTATAGCTGTGAAAGGCTTCCTGAGGGCTTACTGCTGCAACATTTGTGACTCTGTTTGACCCTGCCCTTCCCAGTATTGGGGTTATAATTTTTAAATTTTTTGTGACTCAGTAGCCGTAACTTGTGTGTTTACGCATGTGGTCGTTTGTGTGGGTTAAAGACTTGTGGAAGCACTCGGCCGTTGTATTCTGTCTCTGTGCCTTGCCTACTAGAGTCGTGGGTGTATCTTTTAGAAGATGGTTTCTCGGGGGGAGTCGAGTGCATTTCTGAGCTACACCAGGCTAACAGCTTCCTGCCACGTCCTGCAGCCCTTCCCTGCGCGTGCGGGGTCTCGTCCCCCCGCCCCACGATGTTCTGTTCTTCGGAGAGGGTGAAGCGTGGTCCCCAACCCGTGTCATTGCCCCCGATAGGAGTCGCCACCCAGAGTGTGGTCTTGGCTGGCACACGCAGCTGGTGAGGACACCGATGCCCCAGCCTGTGACTGCTGCACTCCAGCACACCTGCGCCCTGCCGCTGTCCTGCCTGGACAGCTCTTAAGCCGAGGTTTCTGCCTCTCTGTGGACCAAGGCAGACTCTGGAGGGCTCCACTGAGTGTGTGCTGAGGCTACCAGAGACCCACAGTGGCCAGCCTATGACTCGGTATTTAAAAATATCTCAGGTTGAGGAGGCTGCAGGCTCCATGATCGATTCCTGCATGCTGGGCCAGCAGACGGGGAGTGTCCTGTTGGTGCTGTTTGCCCTCCAAGAGCACTGAGTTCCGTAGTGCTGACCGGCCACTGGCCCTGCCCCTGGCAGGCTTTGCCCTGGGCCCAGGGAGACAGGAGGATGAAGGTGTGCTCCCCTCGAGGGATGGCAGTTGAGAGGCTTTACCTCTTGCTCAACTGCTGGCCCTTGTGCTGGTAGAAGGGTCCCTGGATGGGCAGGAAGCTGGGATTAGGAGCTAAATTAGGAGCTGAGATTCTACCCAGCTCTGCTGCTGTGCAACTCACGTCACTGGCCCTGACAGTACGCACGTCCACAGCCAAGTTTGTGCATCTCCCAGACATACAGCGACTCTCTTCAGTCAGGTGCCCACGCTGGGCAATGTCTGTGAGTCAAGTGAACTGTATACAGAAGCCCCCACTGGCGTGCGGCAGGAGGGGGTGCTGCTGAGGAGCAGGGAGGGGCAGGGCCCATGCCAGCTGTTCCAAGTGGCACAGGGAGGAGGGTCCAGGCAGGAGCGTCACACTTAGGAGCCTCAGGAGGCTATGAGAGGCTCTCGAGAGGCCATGCTGGCTCTGGGCTGAGGGAAGAGTGAGAGGACAGGAGCAGGACAGTGTCCTCCCCACCCTGGGCTGCCGAGGCCAACCGTGAGCACACCCGAGTGGCCCTGTGCCCAGCCCAGGCCAGTGCGTCTATGCCTGTGGCGGGTGTGTAGTTGCTGGCTTATTTAGCAGATCCTTGTTTTGTGGCCGCCACATTGCAGGAACAGGCAGCAGGGGAAACTAAGCAGCGTAGAGGCACCCTTGCTCCGCAGCGCTGCAGAGACGCCCATGCCCCTGGGTGTACCCAAGGCACTGTTTCCGTCTGTCCGCCAGCCTTGGTTGCTTAGTGTCCTGCCTGGGCAAGGGGCTCCCAAAGGCACTGATGTTTGTGTGTCTGTTTTTCCTCCAGATGCCTTAAGGCCTCCAGGTTGCCCCAGAGGACTCATCCTTGGTAGAGGTCGCGTGTGTGGTGGCAGGCTCCCTCTTGTGCGCCTTGGAGGCTGCCCCTCGACAGCACCATGGAGCCCCCGGAGGTGCCCGTGGGCTCGCTGATTGACTTCGGGACAGAGCTGCCATCCTCCCCTCCCCTGGAGGCTGCACCTGCCCTCCAGGATGGGGACGGCTCTCTGGGTGAGGCTGCATCTGAGAGTGAAGCCACCGAGTCCGCAGACAGCGAGAACGATGTGGGCGAGTCACCGTCACACCCCTCCTGGGACCAGGACCGCTGCTCCTCCTCTAGCGAGTCCTTCTCCTCTAGCCAGAGTGCAGAGTCGGCCCAAGATGAGGAGGCCCTGGCTCTCCGAGAATTCATGCGTGGCTACGTGGACAAGATCTTCTCCGGAGGGTAGGTCTGCCCCTCCCCAAGACCTCCTGGGGCCACACTGTTGCTTTCACCCAGCCAGGATACATGGGGCGTCTCTAACAGACCCCCTGCTGGGCATGGTGGCATAGGCCTGTCATCCCAGCACCCGGGTGGCAGAGGCAGGAGGATTGCTGAGAGTTTGAGGCCAACCTGGTCTACATAGCAAGATCCTGTCTCAAAAAAAAAAAAAAAAAAAAAAAAAAAAATCCCTCCCCAAAAAGGCTCCCTCTAAGAAGAATATATGCAGTGTATTATTTGTTGAAACTGTACTTTCGATTTGATTTGAAACTGTCTCATTGCTATATGTTTATCAATAAAACTTTGAAAAAAAAAAAAAAAAAAAAAAAAAGGCTCCCTGAGCCTGGCTCCACTGGACAGCTGCCTCTGGGCGCAGCATGCTGCAGATGCGTGGGCTACCCAGGTGGTTCTGGGGCTGCTGTGTGGGAGCTCCTGGGGGAATGGTCACCAGAACACCTGGGCTCCTTGCCCTAGGGGACCAGTTCCTGCAGGGTCTTGGGGAGGGCGAAGACGCCCAGGTGCCAGGTGAGCGCCACCCCCTCCTCCCTCCTCTGCCAGCTGCACAGGTTTGTTCTGGGAGCTGAAAGGCTTTGCTTTCCCTCTGCCTGTCTCCAGGGAGGACTTGGACCAGGAGGAGAAAGCCAGGTTCGGGGAGTACTGCAGCAGCGAGGATGGTAAGGGCCGAGAGTGGTTCGCCCGCTACGTGAGTGCCCAGGTGAGGCCCCCTGGGTGCCGGGAGGGGGCTTCCTCTTAGGGAGGAGCTGGCCAGAGGCCAGGACCTCGATGTCTCCTTGGTTCCACTTTGGGGACATGAGTCAGAGCAGCTGGGTGCGGGGCACACACCTGTGATCCTAGACTCTGGGAAGCTGAGGCGGGAGATTACAAGTTCAAGCCCAGCATAGGCAATTTAGGGACTTAGTGAGACCCTGTTTCAAAATCAAAAGTTTAGAAGGGCTGGGGAGGGAGCTCAGTGGGCACCAGATGTGCAGGAAGCGGTCACTCAGAGAATGGAGGAAGGGGCCCAGGGCGGTGTGGGCACAGTGCCCCCGGGGCAGGAGAGGGTGTCAGCCAAAGTTCTAGGGAAGCGCCTTTTGAAACCCAGGCTCAGCCGGGCTGGTGGTGCGCGCCGGTAGTCATCCCAGCGCTCAGCCTGGAGGACTGCCGTGCGCTTGAGGCCAGCCCAAGCTGCATAGCAAGACCCCTTCTTGAATAAATTAAACAGATAAGCCCAAGTGCATGATCCCTGTCCACACAGTTTATTAAATGGCCTGCAAAACTCAGTATTTTCAAAAGGTGGCCTAGGGGCTGGGGATGTAGCTCAGCAGCATCAGTGCCTGCCTGACAAGCACAGGGTCCTGAGTTCAATCCCTGGTACCGCAAAAAAAAAAAAAAAAAAAATCTAAGCTACAGCATTAATCTCTGGGGCCAGGGAGATGTCTCAGTGGACTAAGCACTTCCCTCGCAAGCACAAGGGCTGAGTTCAATTCCCTGGTTCCGTAAAGGAAAAAAAAGGTGGCATATTCCAGAAAATGAGAGCCTGTAAAGACAGCTGTGCTAGGGGAGTGCAAAGGACCCTTGCAGGCGTGTGGTGTGTTCTTCATGTGAAATGAGACTGCAGCAGAAGCCAGCTGCGCACAGAGCCTGCACCCAGGCGCACCTGCCCCTGTCCTCGGGCTCTCATCCCTCTACTTTGCCGGGTTGCGTGGGTGGGCGTTCTGTGACTCAGGAGGGCACCCCGCGGGAACGCATGGGCGAGAGCATCGTGCTGCGTGTACCACCCGCCCAGGGTTCTGGCAGAAGGGAAGCGCCATCCAGGGGCAGCGTGGCTGTGCTGTGAGCCTCATGCTGCCCCCCCCCCCCCGAGTGCTGCTGCGCGCGTCCCTGGGCCCCACTGACAGCCTCGCCTCTCTGCACAGCGCTGCAACTCCAAGTGTGTGTCGGAGCCAACCTTCTACCGCCTGGTGCAGTCCTTCGCTGTGGTGCTGTTCGAGTAAGTGCCGCCTCCCCTGCCCCCAGGCAGCCGGCTGAGTCACTGCAGTCACCAGCTGCAGGTGCTCCAGCAGGAGCGCAGACAGGCAATTGGGACCTTATCTCCCAGGAGCAGAGCCTCCTCCTCCCAGCTAGATGACATTGGGGCTGCAGCTGGTGGAAGATTGCCTCCCACCCTGGGGACTAGCTAGGCCCGGAAGGCCACCCTCCCCTGGGGTCCGGAGCAGTTCCATTTCCTGTGGGAAGCACTTCCGGCTGTGTGCTGCCACCTCATGCCAGTCCACCCTCACGATGTGTGGGGCCAGTAGCTGCTCTGTGGGATGTGGGTGGCCAAAAGGGCAGAGCTGGGGACCTGAGAGGTATGGCCAGCCCTTTACCACCTGTGCCCACCTGTTGGCGAGGGAGAGGGTCCCAGGGACAGTGGCTCTAGGATGGCCAGGCCCCCCTTACTGCCTCAGTCCCTGATCAGAGCAGGTGCCCGGCCCTCCAGCATCGAAAGGAAGGGGTGCTTTTCTGCTGGGGGCTGCACAGCATGTAGTAACCTGAAGCCTTGTCTGCAGCTGGGTAGAGAGGAGGGGCTCTGTGGCGGGGACGGGCCAAGGGTGCAGCATTTGGCCTCAGGGAAGCACCTACTGGGGCCCTGCCTGTCCTCCTGTCCTGCCTTGTCCCCTGTACCCCATATGCCCACCTCATCACCGAGTCCCTTCCCACCCTGTGCTCTGTGCTCACCTGGATGACAGTAGAGTGGAGGTGGCTGCTCTTCCATCTTTGCCTGTCTCCGCTGCCCTGGGAACACAGCAGGGGCTGGGTGGAGAGGACCACAGGAGAGCAGGGACCCATCTTCCTGTGCTGGCTTCCTGTGCCCAGGGCAGGCAAACATAGCCCTTGGATCTGGGAAGTCAGTGGAAGGGGGCCCAGTGGCCTGTGGCCTGGGCTCTAAGCACCTCCACAGCACAGACCTTCAGAGCTCTGAGCACTCTCAGGAGCTCTTGTTCTGCATAAGTTGCTCTCATCCTGCACAGAATTTATGGATTGTATATGTTGTAGTTTATAGTAGTGTTGGTTTTACTTTGTTCTTTGCTTGCCCATCTTTTATAGTTTTGTTAATAGCTTAGTTCTTGACATTGATTAGATTGCTTTTTCAGTGCTAGCAATTGATCCCAGTGGCCTGGGCATGCTAGGTAAGTACTTTACTGAGGTATATCCCAGCTCCTGCCCTAAAATATTTTTTTTTAAAACAAAAACAGCCCTTATACCTACTATCTAGGTGATTTCTATTGACCTTCTTTTAAAAGTAACAATTGGCTCAGCTTAAAAACTAAGCAGAAGGGTCGGCCAAATAGTTCAGCAGATTAAAGCATCTGCAAGTAGGCACAGGGGCTGGGGGATTCGATCCCCTGGGCCTGCCATGCTGGCCCCACCCCCAGGGCACACTGAGAGGCAAATGAGACCAGGTGTGGTGGCATGTGCCTGTAATCCCAGCACTTGGGAGGCTGTAAACAGGAGAGTCACTACAAGTGTGATCTAGTAGAAGACCATGAACACCCTGTAGACCCTTCCCTAAAATACAGGAAGAAAAAAAAAAAAAAAGACTAAGCAGAAAAGAACAGCGTAACAGGGGCCAGCATAGGCTGGACACCGTGGAGGCGGCGCAGTTGCATGTTCCAGCTGGGCAACTTAGGAACTTTGCAAGAGCCTGTCTCAATATTTAAAAAACAAAAGATAGAAAGGGGCTGGGAACGTAGCTCAGTGCAAAGACCCTGGTCACGCAGGAAGGGAGGGCAGGCAAGGAGGAAGGCAAAGCCTGGACGGACTGGGTGCTCCTCCCTCCTGCCTTGCGCCACCTCTCTTTCCACCCACCAGGACCCCAGCAGTGACGCGTAGAGCAGCGCACAGATCTTCCTCCTGGAAGGCTGTACCTACACGCGGCCCTGTGTGTGCAGCCACGTGACATTCGCCCGTGCACTGTGTCCCATGTGTGCAGCTCAGGCCATGCACACGGACATTCAGACTGCTCTTCCCACTTACAGTGTGGCTCTTGGTACTGTCACTGGGTCACTTCCTTGTAGAAGAAAAGCATCTATATGTATCCAATGACCAAGGAGATAGCTCAGCAGCGTAAGTGCCTGCCTAGCAAGCTCAAGGTCCTGAGTTCAATCCCTGGTACAAAAAAATTCAAAATCTGTAATCTCAGCACAAGACACCATAGTGTGACTGGTTACATTGGTAGAATGCCACTTAGTAAGTACATCTGTCTCTTCCATATGATAATTACTCCGATTTCTGAGGAGTGACAGGAAGAAGAGGTGTCTGTCCCTGGGCTGTGGTTCTCACAGTGGTGTCCCTGAGCTAGACTGTGGGGCAGCAGCATCCCAGGAATTTGTAGGAACAGACTCTCAGGCTTGCAGGCCCCCTGAGTCAGGCCCGCACCCTCCCTGTCCTCGAAGGATCCGTACACTGCTGCTGACCCGAGGACTCGTGCTCTGACCGCAGTTCCAGGCCGACTCCTGGCCGCAGCTGCTTAGCTTGGCTTCTTGGGCCTTGACTTTGACCTTCAAAGTCAAGCTTGGGGGCTGTGAAGGTCTTCCTGCTGGAGTCAGGCCGTCCCCTGGAGACAGCGTTCCCAGTCGGGCCAGGGGATGCTGCTGGGCACTCCTGCCCTGGCCTCTCTGGAGCGTAGGGGCCGGTGGGTGGCGAAGCACTGGGGGCTGGTTGCGTGAGCCCAGCTAGAGGCCTCTGGCCAGTCACCCTTCCTGTCGCTTCAGATGCCATCAGATGGACGACTTCGGGCCTGCCAAGAACCTCATGACCATGTGCTTCACCTACTACCATGTCGGTAAGATGGGCCGTTGGGTGGAGCCCCTTGAGGGGGAAGGCTTGCCAGGGACAGTGAGACGGCGGCGGGGACTTTCTCCACAGTGAGAGAACAGAAGCAGTGGTAGGGAGGGAAGAGCAGGAGGAGCCACAGTCCACAGAGAGGAAGGTCGCAGTGCGGGGAGACTGGAGGGAGGGCCGTGGCTTAGCCTCCCAGCGAGACAGGTCGTGGAGGGGGCTGGGGCACAGGGCCAGTCAGTCCAGGATGTGGAATGCAGCAAGCCCCTCTGGTGGAGACCTCCCAGGGGGAGCAGCATATTCCCTTGGTGCTGAGCTGCACACCTCCTGGGCTCACTGCACTGCAGCCGTGGGCCGAGGCAGCCCGGCTGCCTGAGTCCGGCTGGCTGGAGACCTGGTTCAAGCAGCCCGAGCCACGCTCCTGTCCAGAACACCCCTCTTAAGACACAGCCCGTGCCCTCTGCACGTGGCTCCATCCTCTGCATGCCCGTGGCCCGGGTGGCAGCAGCTGGCGTGTCTGCCAGAGCTCCCAGGCAGGATGCCACAGGACGGATGCCTGGCATACACAGGCTCTGCATGCCAGGTCATGCCTCAGTCCCTTGGGCCACGTGGGAAGTTGTCCTCTCAGAAGATGGCTTGGATCAGGCTCAGTCCACGTGCCAGAAGTCCCCACACAGGGAGGCAGGAGGCTCACAAGCTCAGCCTGGCCAGGCACCGTAGCGACCTAAGGAGAGCAGCTCAGGAGGAAGGCGAGGGAGGCCGGGGGTGCGACTCAGTGTGAAGGGCAGCCAGACAAAGGCGGGTTGGCGCTGCTTGCCCGATCCAGGCCCTCACAGGCCCCTTCCGCCACCAGAGCCCACACTCTGGTCTCCTGCGGAGGCCCCGCCCTGTCCTAGGCTCCCACCGCCCCGGGGCACCTCTGCTCTCCTTGCTGCCGCCAGTTCACACCAGCAGGCACTGTCCAGACACCACGGGCTCACCCTGCACCTTGGGCGCCCCCCACCCCAGCCGGGCCACGGTCAGGCTTCTCTGCCGAACTCCGTGTGCGGAATCCATCCTGCTCCCTCGGAGTCCGCAGGGCTGCGCCTGCCTGTCTCTTTCACGCTGGTTCTGGCTGAGTGTGCAAAGGCAGTGCTCCGCGATGCCCTAGAGGGAGGCCCGGCCCTCCCGGTCCCCACACTGTCAGGGCCATCGCTTCTGCCTCCTTCAGAGCACATGGGCAGGCTGCTCTCGCCCTCTGCTGCACCCGGGAGCGCCCTCACCCTGCCCCTTTCTCAGGCAAGCCGAATCCCCTGCCCGCGGAGCCCAGGGAAAGGGCAGCTGGCAGCATCGACGCCTACCTGAAGTCAGCCAACAGCTGGCTGGCCGAGAAGAAGGACATCGCGGAGCGGCTGCTGAAGAACACGGAGAATGTGAAGGGCTTCTTCGGGGGGCTGGAGACCAAGCTGAAGGGGCCCCTGGCCAGGAGGAGCGAGTGAGTGTGGTGGGGCAGGTGTGTTCACCTGTCCAGTCCCCCGGTGTGACCCACCTGGCTTTCCGGGGCTCCAGGCAACGTGGCAGCGTGTCCCTGACATGTAGCGTGTGAGGCCGGCATGTTTCTGGGACCGACGTGCATAGGCTGGGGGGCGGTTGGGTAGGTTACTGCCACCAGGCCACAGAAGAGACCCGAGAAGGCCACTGTGGCAGGGCAGTGGGGCTTCGGCCAGAACTAAAGGCCTGAGTGCCGTGAGGCACCGTGGCACACACGCCGAGATGCCCATACAGACGGAACACTTGGGCACAAGGGAAGAGGGAGCCCGCAGCTCCACCCCACGCCCCTGAGCTACTCCAGCGGCGTGGGAGCAGCCTCATTCCTCCCCAGTCACGTGGTCTGGGACTGGAGAAATCCACCCAGGTCAGGCAGCTGGTCAGGTCCTGATTTCACGAACATCTCAGAAAAACCATGCGGATAGACACAGCCTGCTCAAAGGTGTGGTGTTTCTTCAGAGAAAATATTTGTCATCCCAGTGGTTTCTCTTCCAGGGATGATGAAAACAAACTCAAGGACAAGCAGCCCAAGACTGGTGAGGACTTGGTCCTGGGAGCCTGAAAAGCCTGGTCCTGTGGGGCGAGGCCGGGAGGGGGTCTGTGGGCGGGGCTCGTGGAGAGGTGGGGCCGGTGGGGGCAGGGCCTGGCCTGGTCTCCTAACCCAGACCCCACAGGGATCTTCAGCCCGCTCACCATCAGGGCTTCCCGTCCCTCACGTGACACAGGCTGCTGCCCTAGAGCAGCGATGGCAGCCTTGTGGAGCTCTTGCTGACACACACAACCTGCTGCGTGCCTGCGTGGCTTCTGCTGCCCTCGAGGATCCTGAGTCCCTCTGTACTTTCTTACTGAATTTCTGGGGAAGAGCCTCTTCTCTAGGAGGGCACACAGCACTGAAGGTCTCTATCCCAGGGAGGTCGATAGAGTGCCACAGTGCAGGGACACCGCAGCCTGTCATGCGGCATCACCCTGGCAGTGTCTCTGTGACATGGTGGTGGGACAGGGTGAGGTGTGGCCTGGGGAGCTGTGGCCCTCACCCCACCTTCACCCAGCCACCTGTTCCCTCTGCTGCAGTGACAGTGCCCAGCCCTGAGGAGGAGCCAAAGGGGGAGAAGATCTACCTGTACACACACCTGAAGCAGCAGCCCATATGGTAAGGCCCTGCGTCACCTGGGGCAGCACTGCGCCCAGCTGCCCGTGTTCCCGTGGGAAATGGCATTCACATCCAAGGTGGCCAGAATGGAAGAGCCGAGCGCTCACAGTGTTGGCAAGGGTGTGCTGAAAGGAGAGGTCTCCCCGCCGCAGGGCTGAGTGGGTAGCAACCAGCCGTCCTTCCAGATGTGTACCCAAGAGAGCAGGACGCCGGCCTCTGGAGCCTGTGCCCAGAGGTGCACAGTGGTGCCATTCTGGAGCCAAGCGGGCACAGCCCAGCCATCCACCACTGGTGCAAGGGTTAGCAGGGTGTGGTCTGTCCACGTCACACAAAAAGGTGTGAAGTGACACACACCCCAACGATGGCCCACAGACACGTGGTGCAGATGATAACATGGTGGCCACAGGGGCCACGGATCCTGGCTCCAGTCCCATTGGTCATGCAGAAGGGGCTGTTCCCGAGCCAGAGTGAGCCAGTGTTGCAGGGCCGGGTCAGGGATGAGGGCGCCCTCGTGGGTCAGAGCTTCGGTGTGGGCGCTGGCGGCCCCTGAGATGGCTGCGACACCTCTGCCCGAGCAGCGCTGGCTGGCCGCTACTTCTGTGATCCTGGAGGTTGAGCTGAGGCTACCGCCTCCGCCCTTTTAAAAATGTTTACCTTCTGAGGAGAAAAGCAAGACTTAACTGATGGAAGATACTTGTTTCTTGGCCTTGAACAGCTGTCAGGTTAGTGATTAGATAAGTTTAATCCCATTAGTGTATCATAAATAGACCTTTCAGAAGTGTAGACAGAGTAATGGAATTGCTGGTGAGGGAGCCATGACGCCTGGCATGGAAAGGTGTTCCGAAGTCTTGGGTCGGAAGGAGTGACCAGTTAAAACATGGACGTTCAGCCTATTTTATTTTGCTGGTGTAGATAGGCATGTATCTATGTACTTTCGCTTTTGTAAAATCAATTTTTCCAATAATGTAATACATTAGTTTACTTATGAAGGTACTTGGGCAGAATTAAAAGTTGCTGCAGTGTTAACGAAAACTGTAATTAAAATGCAACTTGTAGAACCAAAGGAAATAAAGGCTGTGCGTAGGGTTTTAAATTGTCTTCTGAACAGGAGTTTCTTAAATTTGTTGATTTGGAACAAATGAAGGTCAGTTCTTTAGATCTATGCTAGTTATAAGACAGATAAATGCAAAAACACCTTGTAATTTCATGTGGAATCATTAAAATCAGGTTTCCTGAGTTATTGACCTACTATGGATGGTAGTACACACTGGTTAGACTACATCAATTTCACATTTTAAAAATGATCTGTACATTTACAAATTTTATTTCAACTTGGAGACAAGATTACTTTGCCAAATAAATGTATTATTCCTATAATGCAATAAAATGTAAATCAGAAGAAAAAAATACTTATCTTTTGAGGCAGGATCTTGCTAAATTTCCCAGACTGAGCTCAAACTTGTAATCCTACTCAGCTTCCCAGAGAGCTGGGGTTCCAGGCATCACGCCTGGCTACATCGTGCACTTACGTATCTTGCATGCCGGGAATGGAACCTAGAGCCTGGCCCGGCAAGGCAGGTGCCACGCTGCCAAGCACCCCAGCCCACGTTGAATGCACTGAGAGAGAGATTGCATGATGTGTAGATTATGTCCCAACAGTGTGTGTGTGTGTGTGTGTATAGGTGGGTGGGCACATATAAAACGAAGGTTGTGGTTGAAGTGCAGACTAGCTGCGATGGCCGGTTCTGGCTCAGGTGTGTCCCCCCAGGGCAATCCCCGCAGTGGTGTGAGGCGGTGAAGGGTAAGGCTTTGCCCCGCGATAAGATCTTGGGCACAGCCCTGGAAGGTGCTGGAGTTGCCCAGACTGTGGTTTCCACTCCATCAGGAGTGTGTGGTCAGCACATGGCTGCCCAGGTGCCCTGCCCCTTCTAGGTTGTGGTATAGAGGGGACCCCAAGATGCTGGAGGGAGGGACTTCCCAGCTGCAGGAGTTAAGGCCACAGACTCCTCTTTCCTGTATGTGTCGCCTGGTGTTGGATCTCTTTTCCTGTACACCTGCTGGCTGTGGGTGTCTGTGCTGTTCTCAGAACCAAACAGACCACGTCCCCAGTGGAGATGGCACCTGGCGCCTGGCTTGGGGGAGTGGGTTGTCCTTGGAGCCCCAGGCCTCCCTCTCTCAGTGTGCTTCACCAACCCACAGGTGCGGTGCTGGCACCTGAGATCGCAGGTGTCAACCACAGCCTCCCTCAAAGGTCACAGGTGAGCTGCTGTTTATCCACAGCCGGCTATGGTTCAGTGAGGAGCGTCCCAGGATGCACTTGGGCTGGGCCAGGGCTGGGTCCCTCCTGGGACCAGCGCCTGCTCTTGGCCTCCCTGCTGCCTATCACTGGAACAGGGCAGGGCAGACTTCCCTGTGTGGGCTGCGTCGTGAGTATTTTAGGTTTCCTGGCCTCTGCTCCAACCACACAGCTGTGTTTCGCTCTTTGGTGGCCAGAGCGCATAGATAACAGGCTCCTGAGCCCAGGAAACCCTGCCCTACAGATTTGGCCCCAGGTGGTAGTTTGGCCAGCCAGCCTGACTTCCTCACGTGAGTCCTCGTGACCTGCGTCCCCTCAGCACAAGTGTCCCTGTCAGGGCCCCACTGACCTTCAGAGACCCCTGGCCATCCACTTCCTCTCGGGAACCTGGAGGGGGACAAAAGGGGGCAGTGGCGGCAAAGCCAAGGTTTGCAGCTCTGAGCCCTCTGAGCTCACCTGGGCGTGGGGCGGGCCTGTGCTGCCCTGCGTCGTCACTGTCTTTGGCTCCACATAGACGCGCAGTGGCCAGGGAGTGCTCACACACCTCCTCCTGCAGGCACACGCTGAGGTTCTGGAACGCTGCCTTTTTCGATGCTGTCCACTGTGAGAGGAGGAAGCGATCCCCGACCACCAGGTAGGAGCCCAGGACGCCTGGCTCCCTGGGGCACGGTCCTCTTTCCTAGTTTCTGGTGGCAGAATGGCTGAGGTGCCCTGGGGCCCCACTGGCTGCCTGAGGCTCCGATGCTCATGCTTGGGGTGGGCGGGAGGGGGTGCTCAGCTTGCATGAGTGCTTTTAGCCCGGCTCTGGCATGACTTGGCCTGACCCTCCTCTAACACTGCAAACCGCTGCGGAATGAGCCTGCCAGGACCCCACAATCCTGCTGCCCACTGTGTGCAGCCAGTGTCCTGGGGCCTGGCTGCCGAGGAGCTCCTGGGGTGTCCACCCCAGGCTGCTGCACAGGCAAGAAGCCGCTTCTGAAAGCCCAGGTGGCCGAGGGCTCCAGAAGTCAGGCCGGCACCGGGTGCCCTTCATGCCCAGGAGCCGTGTGACTTTGAGGTCTCCGAGCCTCTCAGTCTTGGTCCCCAAGATAAGGGAGTGTGCTTCTCCCTAGTGGAGGCCTGAGCCTCCCTGATGGCCGGCAGCAGTGGAGCAGAGGGCAGGGTGGGGGCCTGGCTCTGCCACTGAGGGGCGGCCTCCGCAGCCCTTCTGCCCACCTGTACTTCACAGCAGTGGCTCCCTCTCCCGGGGAAGAAGAGGGGGCTCCTGGGGCCCGAGGCCAAGCTCTAGTGGGAGACTCAGTGAGGGAGGTGCTGAGCTTCCAGGGGCACTCTGGGCTCCAGGTGGCTGTGCGTCTGTCCGGGCAGCCTGTCTCTGTCCTCTCCATCCTGCCTGTGACAACCCTCTCTGCTCATTCCTCTCCACCCACATCTCGCATGACTCTGACATGTTCCTCTGTTTACCTGTTTCTGCTGCCGCTCCAGAGGGGATGCTGGAGAGCAGGAGGATGAGAGGTGTGTGTGTCCCCGTGACTCTGTCACTCCCAGTGCCCGCAGGGAGGGAGGGCGTCCTGTCCCGGCCGGAGTACCTGGGCCACCCTAAGGCAGGTGCAGCGTGGGCTCGGCAGAGAACAGGCGGGTAGGAAGCCTCCATGGTGGAACAGCCTTGCCAAGCCCACCTTGAGACCACAGGGGGACCCTGAGTGCCTCCCATGGGACACAGTAGTGTGGGATGCTGGGCCAGCAGGCTTGGGCCATGTCGAAGTACCACTGGGGTCCCAAGAATTGCCAGGCAGAGCTGATTCATGCGGGCCTGAGGTGCCGCATGTGTAGTCCCAACAGTGTCAGGCATCCCCTGCTGTGTGTTCATTCAAAGATCTGTCGGAGGTACCCGGTGTGGCTGCCCTGTAGAGGGCTCACCCTCAGGTGCTTCCTGGACCCTGATGTGTGGGTCACGGGCACTGCCTACAGAGTGGTGACCCACACAGCCTGGCTCCGTCGCTGGAAGGATACTTGGGTGAACAGACCTCCTCTAGCCAGCGAGACCCCCAAGCCCCAGTGTTCCCAGGGACAGTGACAGAATGCCACAGAACACAGCTGCTTGGCATAGGATGGGGGCACTGTGGCCTCCCTGAGCTCAGGTCTGAGACTGCGGGGTCAGAACCCCGCAGAGGAGCCGCCAGCCTCCCTGCCTCCACCCCAGCCTCCTGCAGGCCCCAGTGCCCGAGTAGTCTGTGCGGTCCCTTCCTCTTGGGCCCCAGAGGCAGGGAAGGTGTGTCTCCCTGTCAGCAGTCTCACTCGGGCAGCCTTGGTTATGTGTGGGAGGAGTCTCATGTTCCACGGCCAGTGTGCAGGGCTGGTGGGAAGAGGTCCCAGGTGTAGTGCTGACACAGCAGGCAGGAGGCCCACTCCCCGTGGGCCATGGCACGTGGATGGTTGCCATGCAGTCCAGGCTGTGCAGCACCCCATCCACACACCTGTCCATGGTAGGCTGGTGGTGCTGTGGGCATCGTGTGCCCAGCCAATCCTAAGGGTACTATGGAGGGCGGAGAAAGACAGCGGTGCCCTGCCATCACCACAAGGAACTGGAGGTGGCCTCTGCTGTCCCCAAGTCCTGAGGCCCCTCCCAAGCTGCACAGCAGGGACCCAGGCAGCAGGGTGGGCAGGGCAGGGCTTGTGTCCGCCCTTCTGTTTCTCTGTGGCCTCTCCCTGCTCCAGACCCCTCCCTCCTCTGCACCTCTCTTTTCGTGTTCTTTCTCTAAGCCTTCCTCAGCCAGCCTTGTCCGCTGAGTGTCCTCTTGTGGGAAATGGGCACAAGGGAATGCCCTCCAGCCTGCAGCTGGCCCCCTTGGCCTGAGACCCTGCTGTATGCCAGGGCAGGAAGGCGCCCCCTGGTGGCTCCTGGTGGCCCTGCACCTTGTGTGTGGAGCAGGTTTCAATACCTTACCTCCAAGAACCCACAGGGCTTTCTGTACCCCTGGGGCAGGTGACACTGTGGCATCACCACCCAATGCATGTGCAGAGACAGAGGACGAAGCCCTTCCTTGGGCCCTGCCCTGGGGGTGGCAACATTCTAGAGCTGAAGCTCGCCCACCCGCCTGGGGCTCAGCCAGTGCTCAGGTGGGGCACCTGGATCTCCTCCTGGTGCTGGAGGGGGAGGGGGCACCGGCGGAACAGAGTCACCCCCAGATGGTGCCGTGGGGCCCCTCTGAAGAAGGGATGGTGGCTCTCAGCTCCGCCGCAGGCTCCTGCAGACACTGCCCCCTGTTGTCCCTGTAACACCATGCCCGGCCCTGTGTTTATCAAGGGGGCTGGGCCGTAGGAGGACTGCAGGCGTAGAGAGCCATCTAGCTTGTGGGTCTCTTCCTGGCAAGAGAAGGAAATAAGTCATGTGGCGGGCTCCCCCGGCTAACGGCCAGGGTCCTGGCACGCTGCGTGTGTCACCCGCCTCAGCAGAGCTGGAGGGCCATGGGCACTGTCTGAGCCCATCCCGCTCTCCTGTCCCTCCTGTGCTGCAGGGAGAAGTGGTGCCACATGACCCAGGAGGAGCGCGACGACAGCCTGCGCTTCAATGAGAACATCACCTTCGGGCAGCTGGGGTAAGAAGCAGGCCCTGCCAGCCACGTGCCAAACAGGGACGGCTGGCAAGTGGCGTCCCCCACTCTGCTCCCCCACTCCTCCGTCCCTGGTCAGCCCACCCTGCACCCCGAAGCTGAGCTGCAGAGTCCCTGCAGGGGTGGCCTGGCCGGGGGCCCCTGCCCGGGGTGTGGGGCCGTGACCACCTGGTATTCCCTGCAGCACCTTCACCCACAACATGCTGGCCTTTGGGCTGAGCAAGAAGCTGTGTGGAGACTTCCTGAAGAAGCAGGCCGTGATCGGCAGCCTGGACCAGGGTGAGGTGTGGGGCAGGCTGTGGCTTCTGCCCGCCAGGGAGCTCCTGAGATGGCCAGGGGCCCCGCCGGCTGACCCATGTGCTGGCCACAGGGGGAACGCACACACTTGCGCCCACACTCGGGTGCAGTACAGAGCCAGACCCAGGCACGAGCTGGCCCCTGCTGAGTGGTCACAGCATAACCACACCACAGTGAGTGCACAGAGGAGGGGAGGCCCTTGGTCACCGGAGCCCTGGCTCTGGATCAGCAGGCTGCTGAGCTGTCCTTTTGCTGTGACTCTCTGCCACCCGTCTGTCTTCCTCTCGGTCCTCAAGGCCTTGCACACGATGTGTATTTGCATGGACCAAGATGCCTAAAAGAGATATCTTCCCACCCACACCCTAGTCGGGGCCCTGGAGGAGCGGCTGCTGAGCCAGCCCGCACTGGCTAGGGCAAGGATGCGCTTCCCAGTCACGTGCCGAGTAGGGTCCGCAGGACCGGGCCTGGCTGTCGGGCCACACCATGCCTTCTGGGGCTCCTGAGGCAGGGCCTTGTGCCACTGCACTGCCCTGGGAAGTGACAGAGCCAGGTGGTCACAACAGCTGAGCAGCTCAGACACCATTGGCTTGTCTGGTCCAGAACCTAGCTCAGGACTGCTGGGGACGAGAGCAGGCTGGTCTTGTCCTGGTCACCATTTTTCTTCTGAGAATAATGCAGCTCTCCCTTCCAGAGCAATACAAGCTGCTGAGCGACCACATCGAGCAGATGGCTGCTGAGTAGGAGACCACCGTGGACGCTGTCCTGGGCCAGCAGCCGGCCGTCACCCCTCCAATGACCCTGCATGTCACCAGCAGCGCCGGAGTCACCCTTGCTGCCCAGAACTAGCAATAGAAGCCCCGGCTGCCCACCCTCCTCCTGCCATCTGCCCATGTCTGCACCCCATCCACGTGCCAACGTGTCTCTCGAGGGACTGCTGCCCTGCAAGTACCAGGCTTGTGAGATGAGCCCAAGAGGAGGAGGATGGTGGCCACAGCCAGGGCGGGCACAGGGCCGCGTCCTGCATGGACCCCTCTGAGGGCAGAGCAGAGGTCCAGAGGCAGCTGAGAGATGGGCAGCCAGTGTGGACAGGACCACAGGGACACCACCAAAGTCTTGGGGGCTCCAGGGTCAGTCGCAGCTGCCTGCCCTTCCTGCCTGTCTCCCTCCTCTGGGAGGAGCTGGGAGTCACGGGAACCGAGGAGCACAGACACCTCCTATTTTAGGGAGAGGAAGAGCCACAGGGTAGGAGACAGTTTGCCGTGCGAGAACTGACACCCTCTCGGGGGTGTGAGGACCCTGAGAACTCGCAACAGTTGAGGTGTCTGCAGGTACCTGAGATGCAGAGGTCCACCACTCAGGCACCCTTTCAGGGTACCTGCACCCACAGCCTGCGCTTCCTGGCTTTCCCTGGGACCTCGCCAATGCACCCCTTATCCTGACTGCAGCCCGGGGAACCCTGGCCCTTCTGTATGCTTGTGCCAGGCCAGCCCTTGGGGACTTGGGCCAGCATCACATGGGACCTGGTCCTCCACCTCCAGCAGCTGTGGCTTCAGTTGCTGACCTTGGAATGGGCCAGCCATGCTGCCCCTTCTGCCTCTGGCTCTTTCTGTGACAGGTACAGGCTTCCTCTCGGGAGCGCCTCCCAGAGCAGAGTGCGGGCGGCCAAGCCCTGGAGCACGTGTGTCCTGAGCGCTGGGCAAGATGGCAGCGCTGGTGGGGGTGGGTGGCTGATGAGCTGGCATGTGAGTCACTTCAGCCTGTCCAGTGCCACCAGCCAGGATGCGTGGCCAGCATGCTGGATACCCGGGCCCCTGTGCTGCGTAGGCACCCCTGCCTCAGCGTTGGGCGCCTGTGGTGGTGGCACTGGCCTCTGCTGAATTGCTTAGGGAAAACTTGTCAAGTCAAGGCTGCAGGCCCAGCGTGACCTTCTGGACATCTATTCCCAAGGGAGGGGTCACCAGGCCCCACAGGGCAGGCACGGAGGCCATTCCCACTAGTTGGCATTAGTGGAAGTGCTAGACTCTGCCTGGGTGCCCCAGGACATGCCTTTGTGTAGAAAATGCTTGTGTGGTGGTTCTGCTGTGGTCAGCTTTCTAGGCAAACATCCGGGAAGAACTCAGGCACATGGCCACACAGCCTTGGGGGAGGGTGCGGGTCCGCTCCTCCTGGCTCTAGGGTCTCCTGGGGGGCACCAAGGCTGCTTTGGGCAGCTCTGAGAGGAGGGGGGAGGCCTGCTGTCCATCTTCCCTCATGCCTTGCTCCTGCAGAGTCCTAAGATGCCATGTTGTCCCTGAGCTGCGCCTTTGGTATGCATGTAACAGCCTCCTCGTGTCGCACACAGGACCAGCTCTGGCCTCACAGGTGACCTGTGCAGTACCACGTGGCAGACTTCAATTTTCCTGTTGCCAAAAGAAGTGGCTGTAGAGTGGGGAAGGACAAGGGGTGCAGAGGGAGAGTCAGCATCGAGCAGGTGCTCGGGCTCCCCAGAGCAGAGCCCCAGGTGGGTGCCCACTGCGCAGCCCGCAAGAGGCCTGGGACTTTCATGCCCAGAGACACAGCTGTGTCCAGGGCGCTATAGCCGAGGGTCTAGGAGGTCTCTGTGTAACCGGGTCGCCTGATCAGAGGCTGGGACTGAAGCCTGGTGTGCCTGTGGTCCAATCCCCTTGGTCAGTAGGATTCCTAGAACGCCAGACAGTGGATGGTTTACTGAGCCTGTTGTAGGCCTTAAGGGACTTTAAAACTGAGAGTTCCCTTGTGGGAGGGAGAATGGACGCACAGGGCAGGGGCAGGGCTCCCTTGAGTGGCCAGCAGGGTCTGTGCTGGGCTCCGCACCCAGCCCCAGGACAGGTGCGCTGGTGTCTCAGGGCCCCCGGGCCCCAGGCTCCTTCCCTTTGGTGTCTGCCCCGAGCTATCTGACCCACCCCAGCAACCTGCCCATCTCGCTGGCCTTGTGGGACATCCCTGGGAAGGGGAGCGGTGTGTCCAACTCACCGCTGACCTCTCCTGTGAGGACAGTGCAAGACGTGTGCTCCAGCCCTGGATACTTCTGGTCCCCACCATGCGCCTTCCCTCCCCAAAACCCTCACAGCTGTGCTGGGTCAGGGAGGGGTGAAGGGGCCACTTCCACACTGTCCACAGGTGTGCCCTCCACCCATGTCCTGGGCCTCTGGACCTGCAGGTCACCTGCTCCCGGGAGGAGGGGAGCTCAGGACCTCTGTGGGACCAGGGCCACTTCCAAGGGCAGCCTGGCTCTGGGCTGCGGGGTGAGGACCGAGGGAGGCCTGGTGGGCTATGGGATCAGGTGTCTGCGTGGCTCCCCAGGGGCTCTGGTCACATTGAATGGCATCAGAACTGCTGGGCCATTTGATCTGTAGCCCCAGGCTCCACCTGGCAAGGCCCCTCTCTTCCCCAGGGCTTTGAGAGACTGCGTGTCAGCCAGATGGGGCCCTGTCCTGACTCCTTCGCAGGGCCCAAGCCTGGCACAGCCCCTCTCTGCCCTAGGCCAGAGGGACGTGCTCACGGGAGAGCGATGGGGCCAGTGTTGGGGAGAAGCCAGCTCTTGGACATGTGTTCTGGCTTAGCTTCTGGGAGGGGCCCCGATGGGGCCTGGGACTGTCACTCCAGGGCCAGGGGAGCCACGAGAGGCCAAGTCAGATGCCTGGTCACTGGGAAGTCCTGCCCCTTGGTGACATGCTTGTGCTTCTGCAGGGTGTGGCTCACACTGTCCTCTGTCCTGTCACTTGTGTGGTTGCCCCTGTGGCACCAGTGTCTTGTTCATCACCGTTACACAATCCTATGTCCCTGAGGTGATGTTCTAAAATGACATTTTAAGGTTGAGAAAGTTCCCGGGTGGAACTGGCAAAGCAGCGCTAAGATCAGCGCTGCGTCCCGTGAAGAACAGTGTGTACATATGTTGCGCCTCAGATGGCCAAAAAGTGGAAAATGAAATAAATTATCTTTTAGAAGAAAGCTCTGTTTTGTACTTTATCTTGACATGGCTGGATGTCTGCAGCAGCTCCTCAGAAGGAGCCCGTCTGCAGGATGGACTGGAGAGGGCCCTGGCCGCTCCGCTGGCCCCCCGGCCAGACCCTGGCCACTGGGGTGGCTTAGATCCTTGAGCTGCAGGGGATGCCCCATCCTGCTGCCCCTCTGAGTGGAAGCCACCGACCTCTCCAATTTGAGGTTGGTTGGGGGCCTCTGACCGTGGCTGCCACCCCTCAGGCAGGACACGTTTGTCCAGCATGGCACAGCAGGTGACCTCCAGGCTATACTTCCTTCCCTGGGAGCACACCAGGCCAAGGCTGCTTCTGGGCCCAAATGGTGGAAAGGCTGGGAAGAGGCCAACCCCAGAGGGCTCGAGGGCACAGGTGCCGGCCCTGGGGCGCAGGCATGGTGGTGGCTATCCCATGTCCTTGGTACTCCCTCTGCCCACGCTTAGCCAAGTGTGGTGGGGGCCCAGCCTGGGAGCACCAGCCCTAGGGTGCGGCGTTGGGATTTTCCTTGATGCTGGGAAGTAGGGGATCCTGCCACATCCTAGAAGGCAACTGCTGGGCTCAGAGCCAACTCTGGAGCCCAGGACCCTAAAGCGTGCCAGGACTGGGACAAGCCCAGGGCATCCCATTGCCAGCTCCCACATCTAGCCCCGAGGTTCCACCTCTGTGCTCACCCCCGAGGGCACAACTAACCAATAAGTTTCCTACTAAAAAAAAGAAGAAGGATCTCTCAGGCTCTGTTCTAGGAACGCAATGAAAATGGATCCCTCCAAATTCACAGAACTAAACAGAAGGGGCACTAACCCAGCACCCAGCTGTTTCTCCTTCAGCTGTGACCTTTCTGCTGCCTGAGTCCCTGGGGGCTGCTGAGTGCCTTCGGGCAGGGGTCACCACCTCCACCCAGGGCCACCAGCACTGTGTCCCCTGCATGCAGCACCCCTTTTCCACGAGGGACAGCAGTCTTGTTCGGGGTTCTGCCGTGTCACAGCTGGGCTTCCTGAGGGAGGAAGTCCGCTCCAGGGTGGGTGGCAGAGGCTCTGTCCTCTGCGGTTGGTGCTCAGGACAAAAGGCAGAGAACCCAAGGGAGGGGGGTCCTCGCCAGCAGGCGCCACACTGCTCCCTGCCAGCAGAGGCCAGTTTCACTGGCCCTCCAGTGGTCCCACGAGGAGGATGTGTGTCCTCCGTTGTGCTAGTGGAGAAGCCCTGGCACTGATGGGGTGACCAAATCCCAGGCCCTCGGCTCCAGAGGCCCACAGGGCCCAGAGGCAGATGAGTCCCCTGTACGGCTGTAGACCTTCGGGCTCGGGCCAGGGCCCTCGAGCACCAGTGCCCCGATCTGAAGCCCCCGGGCCCCACAGTGCCCCGCAGTCAGAGCAGACATCAGCGGGTTGCTAGCAGCCCTGCACTCCTGGCTGGAGGTTCCTTTTCTAGGTCCCCAGAGTCACAAGGGAAACTCGGCCCTCTCTGCTGTGAGTTGCTGACACCTGCTGGCAGATGCGGCCTCTGGGCGGCACTGGTGACAAGCAGAGTGCACCAAGGCCTTGCTCTGTCACACTTTACAACCTGCTGACCAGGACTTCCTAGCACCCAAGAAGGAACCACGACCCTACTTCCTGGGTGGGCCTGGAGGCCGGGGCACAGACCTCCCTCCCATTCCTGTCCCCCACAGACTCCCGCAATCTGCCTGGGTCCCAGGACTTCACATTGCACGTGTGTTGCAGGCTGAGCTGTGTCCCCCAAATTCCCATGCTGAAGTTCTGAGTCCCAGCAGTGTGCGGTCTAAAACGGGGTCCTAGCAGATGTGGTGGGTGAGGATGAGGCCACTCCAACGCTGCATGAGGTGTTCTTGGCAGAAGGGACACATGGCCACAGCCTCAAGAGTGTGCTAGGAGGCAGCACTGGTGGAGAAGGCAGACACTGGGCAGCGCCCAGATGCTGCCTGGCACCTCAGCTTCGAAGGACTGGACTCCTTGGCTGCCAGAGTGGGAGGCCCTGCGTGGCCCCATGTGGCACTTGGTCATGGCAGCCCCAGGAAGCCAAGCCACAGTGCGTTGCCAGAACACAGGAGAACCCATGTGGGCCAGTGAGGGACGGGGATGGGACAGGACTTGGTGACCGCTCACTGCCCCCTGCTCCTGGTGTGGGCAGGGAAACCGAGGCTCTGGGAGGCTGTGGCACAGGCACGATAGCATCCCCATGGCCTCCTAGTGCCTGCGGCCCTGCTCTTGCCCCTGGAGGTCCTCCAGTGCTGTGTCCCCTGCTGCGTCACCGCCCCCGGCCTCCTGTCCTCGCTGGCTCCCTAGGGTGCTCTGTGCAACCTGGGTGTTAACAGTAACAGCTGCAGTGACACCGCAGCCACTGCCCCGGCCTGCTGCAGCTCCTCCAGCTCTGCCCCACCCCGCGTGGGCCACCAAGTGGGTGGAGTCCAAGAGCCCAGAGAAGCTGTGACCCTACTCCAAGAGCTCACAACCAGAGCAGCAGGTTTGGGCCAAGCCAGTCTGACCTGGGGCTTGCTCACCCCCATAGCCTCTGGGAGGCGGTGATGCCCACCCGTGGGTGGCCTGGGGGGCTCTACTCCCCGGCCTCGTCCCCCTTGGCTGCCCACTCTGAGCTGCCCAGGAGCATGGGCACGCCTGACTCCAGGCCTCACTGGGCCCTTGTGAGGTGTGTTCCATGCCACCTTGTGCTAGCAACATCTGAGGACGCCTGGCCGTTGAGTGCCTATGGGTGGCATGGGCGTGGCCGTGGGCCTGGGCAGGCCAGAGACTCACACCTCACACTCACCTGGCTGGCGGGTGGCCCCAGCGTGGCATCTGTGAAGGGCCAAGCCTCAAAATGTCCAGGAGCTCCCCACGTCTTGGCTTGAAAGTCCTGCCCAGGAGAGACGGGTGAGCCGGACTCAGTGGGGACACACAGGGCATGGGGCAGGAAAGCCGGATGGGGACACCATGGCCCACAGACAGTGACATGCCGAGCCCACAGTCACGCCTGGCACCTCCTGCTGGTCACACCATGGGATCCACAGTACTCCAGGAGTGGGCAAGACCATCCCACTTACAGACACAAAACAGGCCGGGAGAGGCTCACAGGAAGCGGCTGGCTCCTTCCAGGGCAGGCAGCCCTAAAGGGATATTCTAGAAGGCTGGGGTGCAGCTGGGTGGGTGAGCCCCTGCCTGGCACATGGACACACTGGGCCCCATTCTGGGCACCACAAACAAACAGATAAATACTGCTGCATCAAGGAAAGCATGCTGGGAGTTGGGGTGCCCCCTAACCTGTGCCACAGCTAAAGCTCGGGGAGAAATGCAACACATGGAGGAGCTGCGAGCCCCAGAGCCACCAAGCTTAGGGTGACACATGGGTGCCTCTCACGGCACCAGTGTGGGGCAGCGTGTTCCCCGCATCACATCCGAGTCCTCAGAGGGGAGTGCAGACATGGGCCAGAGCAAAGCACCCTGGGCAGTGGGCAGGATGTCCTTCCGGTCGCTGCTCCTGAGGTCGCCATGGCCCCAAGAGAGCCGCAGCCCGGGCCAGGACACCTGCCATCAGCACGGCCTTCAGAGTGAGTGAAGGAGTAGAAACTCACTCGAGAGAACCACCTCAACCCGCACCACTGGCGCCCGGGCAGCACGCGGGATACCCCACCTGTAGGTCCTGCTCTGGGTCGTAGCTGCCCAAGGTCTGGCAGGCTCTGGAGCACACCTCCACCGCCTTGGCGTGGAACACCATCTCAATGGTCATGAAGTCCAGGAGGACCCTCTGGGGCAGGGGAGACAAGTCACCCAGAGGTGGCTGTCACGGGGGCACAGGTCCTGGGTGGGGACCTTTTCTTTTTGTTATACTGGGGATGGAGCCCAGGGCCTCCACAATGAGCTCCATCCCTAGCCCCTTTTTCAATTTTTTAAAAAAAATTTTTGAGAGAGGGTCTCATTAAATCACAAAGCTGCTAAGGCTGGACTTGAGTTTGAGATCCTCCTGCCTCAGCCTCCCAGAGTGCTGGCATGGCAGTCCTGCACCATCACCCTAGCCCTGGGTGAGAAATTTGAACACTAATTTTGGTTCATTTGTCCCAGAGCCCTGTGATGCCCATCACAGTTCAGGGCCCAAGCGGTCCGAGCACTCATGGAGGCCGCCGCGTCCACTCTGCCTCCTATGCCCTCCTCCCAGAGACCTGCGGGCTTCCCGCCCTCTTCCCCACTCCTCTTCCCCACTCCTCTTCCCCACTCCTCTTCCCCACTCCTCTTCCCCACTCCTCTTCCCCACGCCTCTTCCCCACGCCTCCCTCCCAAGGTCCAGTCAGAGCTTGCTGGTGCGTCTAACATGCTTCAAGGCATCTGTCTGCGGATGCGCTGATTTGGTTGACCGTCCCCAGCACCGGGACACTCTGTCCACCCTCTCCCAGGCCAGCGTAGCTGTGGGGAGGACTCCAGGAGGGCCTTGAGCGGTGCCAGGCCCAAGGCAGCTGTGCCCTGTGGCCGCCTCCGCCCAGCTCTCACCCCAGGCGCGCTCACACGGCAATGAGCAAGGCTGCAGAGGTCTCTGGGCCCTGCCCCATGCCCAAGCAGAGTGCTGGAGGCCCTGGTCACCCCACCTGTCCCCCTCACCCACTGCAGATGCTCCCTGAGGCCCCAAGGATGAGGTGCAGCGAGAGGGGTGGTGGCAGCGACCCGCCCGCTGCCTGCTGTGAAGAGCGCAGGTGACAGTTCCAGGAGCACCCAGGTCTGCCTGGGAGTGGCAGGCCAGGACACAGTAGGTACCCGCTCCACGTCAGTGACATTAAGGAGTGTGGGAGATGTGTGCTTCCTTGGTCCTGTGGGGACAGCTGCGTGGGAGGCCTGGGAGCAGGCCTCGAGGTGGGTCAGATGGGTCGGGGTCAGCTCCTCGCAGGGAGGGCAGCACTTCCAGCAGAGCACCTGGGCTGTGTAAAGGCCCTGAGGCAGCTAAGGCAGGGCCTGGTGCTGCAGCGGCTGCAGATGAGCTGGAGGTGCCCTCCCGAGGCCTGTGGGGGGGGATTCTGTCCTCTGTCTTTAGAACAGGACAGGCCTGCTAGGCCCACGGGGCTGTCAGGAGATCCTGGGGCTGTGACTGGAAACCGGACAGGAGCAGGCGAGCAGAGAGCAGCCTCTGCCGCAGTCCCTTCCCGCTGGTCTGCTGGGACAGCCTTCCAGCTGGGAGGGCACAGTGGCCCTGAGCCTGCAGTGCCCCATCCAGCCACTAGGGTGCACTGTCTTGGGCTGGGCTTCACAGCTGCATACATGCCCTCACACGCGGATCCACAGGTGCTCACAACTGTGCACAGCCCACCGGGCCTCACAGGTGTGCACACACCTCCGTACGTGCCTACGTACACCTTCAGTGGTTGCTCACACACACACCCTTCCAGGCACACACTCCTGCACACACCCACCCACACCCTTCTCCCACACGTGCACACACGTATGCACACACATGTGTACACACTAGTGCACACGGGTCACCGACGGCCCCCACCTGGAGGTCCTTCAGCTTCCGCTGCTGGAAGGCAGCCACTGTGTCCTCCAGCTGCCGTGTGGTGCGGCTGGCGTCCACCGAGGCCCTCTGCACGCTGTTTTCTGCCTGGCCCAGATATGCAGGGAGAAGATGGCGTTATGGATGGGTGCAGCCCGACAACGCCATTCGGGACTGTCCCCTTCACTGGCCCGCTCTCTGGCCCAGGGTGTCTCGTGTCACGCGGTGGCCAGAGGGCTGCTTGATGTGGACTGTGGCCCAGGGTCCGGCTGCTGCGGTGCGGAGGCCTGCTGGAGGCTGTGAGATCTCGGGAGTCACACGGCCTCTCTGGGGCTCTGCTCCTTGCCTAGGAGCAGGAGCCGGCGGTCTGGCCTGCTCACAGCGATGCTCACTGAAGCCCCAGTGGCCCCTCTGGGCTGCTAGCAATGTGTTCCGTAGGGAATTGGCTCCGAGTGCCTGCTCATGGACACCACAGGTCTCCAGCTCATCTGTCCCTTCTATCTATATCCCCAAACCCTGCTCTGTGCTGGGCCATCTTTGGATCAGAGTCCTGAGGTGGCCATGTACAGACCCATGTGAGCCGGAGCCTCCATTTCACCCTCTCGAGTGGGTCCCTTCATGCCAGCCTGATCAACTGGACACCGTGGCCTATGCCCCAGAGGACCCTGGATGCCTCTGGCCTCCACCGACAGATGCCACACAGTCAGGGGCATGGCGGTCCCCAAGATGTCCACACCTTGATCCCCGTATGTGTAGGTGGTGCCTCATGAGGGGAGCCTGGGGGTGTCGACCCCAGCTGACCATGGGGGGTCCTCATGGTCAGGGCCTGCAGTGGAGGCTGGGCCTGTGGGGAGGGGATGCTGGGGACAGGGGAAGGGCTGCCAGCTGAGGGACACACATGGGTGGGAAGGTGGGTCTGCGGCAAGGGAGGCAGGGTGGGGTTTACGCACCCTCCTGCCTCTTGGAGGGTGCGTCCCTGCCCACCCTGGACATGGCCAGGGGGCCTCTCCAGCTGGTGCCCCTGAGCTCTGTGCTGGGTGAGATGCCACTCTGCAGCCATCTGTCGCCACTGCACCAGGAATAAACAACTGCAGGGGCATCTTTATGACAGTCTAAAATGTCCCCAGACTGGGCCCAAGGCCCCTGGGGGTCAAAATGGCCTTGGATGGGAGCCCGACATAGGTCCACGACAAAGCACACTTTGGGTAACGTAGGTCACTGGGTTCTGAAAGGGCAGAGGTGATGAGCCGGTCACTGTGTAGGACTGCTCAGGGGAGCGGGCTGTGGACTCTCCTTGTCAGGCCCCTCAGTCCCTGACCCAGGCTTCTCTGGTGTGGAGCACAAGATGGGCAGCCTTGCAAGGAAACCGAGGCCTGAGACAGCGGTGGCTCACTGGACACTGGGTCCCTGGCCCGTGACCACCTCCCCTGCACACACGCAGTGTTCACACCTTACCCGCCTGACCTAGAGGAAGGTGCTGCACTCACCTGCGACTGGGCAGTGGGTTAAGGATTCTGCCCAGAAGCCCAGTGGCCCAGGCCTCGGCAGGCCCCATGCCACCCGGCAGGCCTCCACAGGGCCCATGCCTCCCGGCAGGCCTCGGCAGGGCCCATGCCTCCCGGCAGGCCTCGGCAGGGCCCATGCCTCCCGGCAGGCCTCGGCAGGGCCCATGCCTCCCGGCAGGCCCAGGCACCATGGAGCCAGCCACCACCCCAGGGAGCGGCTTGTGAAGTGGCTCCCAAAGAAGGATACAATCATCTGCCGATCTGAGGGCGTCTTCTGCCTCAGTTTCTCCAGCCTTTCCAGTTGTTTGATCTCATTGTTTTGGATGCGTTTGAATTTCTTGATCTCAGCCTAAAGAGAGAGAAGCAGAGGCCGGTTTCCCAGGGATCCCTGGCCACCCCACCGCCGCCTGCCCCAGGCACCCTGCTCACCCGGGTCTGTTTTATCCAGGTGCCATACAGCTTCAGGGGCTCCACGACCTTGGCCTCCAGCCTCTCGACCTTGGGCAGGAGGGACAGCACAGAGGGTCAGAGCACAGCCAAAGCTGTCCCTGCAGGGCACCGGCTCCAGAGCAAGGCCCTGGGAAGGAAGGTGGCCTCCCCATCCCTGGGGCACAGGGCAGCACCACGAGTGTCACTCGGCCCCCGCCCTTGCCAGAGTGTGAGGTCAGGTGAGCTGGGAGGGGAGGCTTGCCTGTCACCCAGCACTTCGGGAACCCAAGGCGGGGGATCAGAAGTTCAGGCCCGCCTAGGCACCAAGAGGGCTGGGGGAGCGGCTAAGGGGTGAGCGCCTGCCTGGCATGCAGAGGCCCTCGGTTCCACCATCTGCACCCCAAGCGAAGCCGGGCAATCAGCCCACACCAGGCCTTGGGGCGGGGCAGGGGGTGACAGGCTGCCCCTGAAGACAGTGCCTGGCAGGGGACCCTGGCCACCAGTGCTCCTTCTATGCCTTGGGGAGCCTGGTCTCCCCTGGTCTGTACTCTGGGCTCCCCACACTGCCTCAGGGTCCACAGCACGGAGGGGATGGCGCCCAGGGCCGGATACCCCACAAGCTACCATGAAGCACTCAGTAGGCCCAGTGAGGGGTGCGCCAGGGCCTCCCCCGAATCTGCCAGGGCTTGAAACCCTAGTCTTCCAGCTGGCAGCTACAGGGGTCAGTCTGGCTGCACGGAGTATGGCAGCCCTGGGGGCAGCACAGCTGCGTGGGAACCCTGGGGTGGGTGTAGTGCCCCTAGGACACCACCCTGGTGCATGGTCCAGGGGGGCCGGCAGCTTCACGTTTTACGTGGTCACATGTCCCCACATCTGGGCTGGCAGCATTATTCCTGGATCCCCTGGGCAGGCCGCTGGCACCCATTGCGCTGGCCAGGAGGAAGTGGGAGGCCCCACCCAGGCTGTCGCCTCTGCAGGCTGCTGACCCGTGGCCAGGAGGGGAGGAAAATCCTTCCCCAAGCGCCAGAGGGCGAGGGCCGCCTCAAATACTGCTGCGGTTCCCTGGGCAGGCTCTGACCTTTTGAGTCTAAGGTGATGTCCTCCTGCCAGGCCTGGGAGCTGCCTCCTGCCATGTGACCACAGAGCGAGCTGCCCTCATGCAGCAAGGGACACAGGCAGACCAGGCTTCATTCTTTGGGTGCAGATGGGCTCATGGTGATCAGGTGGATCTGGACTTGCTGTGTCCGAGGAGCAGGCCCACCTGCCCTCAGTTCCTCCCTCTCTCTTTTGCGCAGATGAAGAAGGACACTGGCCACTGCGTTGAACCCCAGCCCTTTTATTTTCTGCTTGGAACTGAGATCTAACCAAGCTGCCCAGCCTGGGCTCCAACTTGCCATCCTTTTGCCTCAGCCTGCTAGAGTGCTGGGGTCCAGACACCCACCACCACGCCCTGCACTAAGGCCTCCTTCCTGGTCAGCATCTGCCCTGAGGACACGTCTAGGAGGTCTGGCGGGAGGAACCTGGAGCTTTCTGCTGTCCCCCTCACCTCTGCCATGTGGCCTGTGACGGGCCTTCCTCTTGGCCTTCTCCTCTTGGCGGCTGTCTGTGGCTGCTTATTTCCGACACCCACCAGCCTCTTTCTGGCTTCTGCGGGATTGCTGTCCCTCCCCCAGGTGCTGTGTGCCCTAGTATTTGGGGAGCCCCCAGGTCTGACTTTGGGCTTCTACCCTCAGCTGTCTTGGCTCAGCCCTGGCTCTCAGTCCTGCGAACAGTGTGACAGTAGGTGAACGTCCACGTCCACCTGGGGCTGCCTTGGCAGAGGTGTGCTGCCTGGGCCATGGCCGCCGCTCACCTGGGCCTGCCGATAGTCCTGCACTTTGGCCAGGTCCTCAGCGACATCCCGAAGAGTGGCCCGCAGCTCGGGGGCCTCAGTGCTGGCAAAGGCGATGAGCTGCTTGACCAGCCGGTCCCCTGCATCCCGGAGCCGGGCTGTCTTGCGTGTGTGGGCAGCCAGCAGAGAGCAGAGCTGCCCGAAGTGCTTCTCAGTGCTGACCACCGTGGCTTCCATTGCCCTCACCTGGCCGTCTCTGGAGAGGTGGGGGTCTGAGTGTTGGGGACACCCCAGAGGTGAGAAGCACGCCCAGTGACAGCCCCACCCGCTACGCTTGCATGGCAGCAAGGAAGCTCTGCTGGGTTCTGGCCTCCTGGGTGCCAGAGTCTGCACAAGCCTCACCCCTGCTGTGGGGCAGGTGTCGCCCCGTACCCCTCCCACACCAGGAAACGCCCTCCTTTGAGCGCTGCATTTTTCCTAAAACACTAAGGAGTTTCTGAGAGAGCTAGCTTTGGGGTGGCCTCCTGGGCCCCACATCTCCCTCCGCAGCCAGCCCCGGTGCCTCGGGTTGGTGCCTCCAGTGAGTACCTGTCATCTCCTGTCAGACTGGTCCTTCCCTCCCCAGACTCTTGGGTGGCGTGTGCTGCCTTGTTGCACCATGCCCCGGATGTGTTCTGCCAGCCATCTGGGACCCAGTCTGCCTCCCGGGCCTCCCTGTGGCCTCCTCCCCTCCTTCATCCCCGTGTCTGTCCTACAAGTTGCACAGCGTGGGTCTCCCTGTTTCCAGGCAACAGAGACCCCATGCAAGGAGCACAGCTGAGTCTGGGCTGGGAGGACCCAGCACCAAAGCCAGAGTCCCTGGCGTGGCTGGGCAGCAGCAGGTGGGCATGACCCACAGAGGGGTGAGGCTGGTGGGCTGGGGGTGAGGGCTTTTTCAGGGGCACCAGCAAGGGCTGGAAGGAGGACCTGGCGCATGTGGCTGCCCCAGTTTGCCGGCCATAGGCCAGGAGGCCTGGTAGTCAGAGCCCTGTGTCCCCCACCATCCTCTCCTCCCTCTTTCTCTGGGACAGTGGCTGACCCCAGCCTCTCTCCTCCCTCCCAGCCCGTGTGGCCACTCACCTGGAGAGGACTAGGTTCATTGTGTCCTCCAACTGCTGTCCTGCTCTTGGGGAATAAGGACTGGACTCCAGGGAGCGAGGCAGGGTTGGGCGGCTGCGCACTCTGGGCCCAGGGACGCTCCTGCTGAGTTGCCAGGCAACAAGCCTGCCCCCAGCTGGCCTGGGCGGAGTCGACCTGTGGTTGCTGGGGCAACCCCTCACCTGGGGCGGGCTGGGCAGAAGTGCATCCCAGGAAGGAGGCCTGGTGCTGTGGGGGAACAGTAGGGCCGGCCCCCAGGGTCCCCTGCCAGGCTCCACCAGGCTCCTCTGTGCTCCTCGTGGGCCCGCGTGGGTGAGGAGCCCCGGAGGCCCCGCTCAGGGCAACTCCTGGGCTGCCGCTGTACCGCGCTGCTCTGGAGGTCCCTAATGTCGGCTGTCAGTGCACAGCTGTGGTCCCAATGACTCTGGAGACTGAGGCAGGAGAGGTGCTTCTCTGAAAGATGCCCAGGCCAGGTGGGAAGAATCCATGTCCAAAAGATCGAGCCAGGAGAGCTGTCTGGTAGGACCACGCGGCCGCGTGGCGAGGCCCCGCCTGCCAGGCCTTTGTATCTCCCCCAACAGAGGAACTAGAGACCACAGGACGGGGTTGGGGGGAGGGTGTCTGCGACCACCCTGCGTGTAAGGCCTGAGGTTTAACTGCCGAGGGCTTTTTGGTTTGTTTTTTGGTACGGGGTACCAAACTCAAGACCTTGCCCTTGCCAGGCAGGTGCTTATGCCGCTGAACTACATCCCTAGCCCAGGTGTTATTTTTTATTTTTTGTAGTATGGGGGATGGAAGGAGGGCTTTTCTGTTGAGTTACATCTAGAACTCCTCTTACTTTTTTATTTAGCCACAGGGTCTCCCCGGGTTGCTAAGCTTCCCAGGGTATGCAAGGACAGGCCTGGGCCGACCACCAGAACCTAAGAGCACTAGGTCGACCCGCATGGGTTCTAATCCAGGCTGGGCGCTGTGTGACTTTGGGCCATCACCTGCCCTCTCTGGGCACTCACTGATCACTGCCAGGGCTGCTCAGGGGTCCAGCCCCACCACAAAGTGGCCAAGCGGTGGACCCTGGGGCTGGCCTCCCTCTGCGACCCCCAACCGTCCCTGCCTGCCTCTCTCCCAGGCCTTTGCGATGTTGCCTCCCTCCAGGGTCCTGATGCCCTTGCAGTCCGTGTGCATGGGCAGTGCCAGCCTGGCCACTTAGTGTGACACTTCACAGGGCCGGGGATAGTGTCCCACCACGTGCGCCCCAGACCTCTGTGTGACCTAATTTGGAAATCGGGTCTCTGCAGCTGTCGCTGGCTGGGCTGAGCCACAGAGCCGGGAGCTCAGCTCGCAGTCCTCAGGCAGGCACAGCAGGGGTGCTGGACAGCGGCCACTTGACTGCAGGACAGCGCCACGGCTGTGGCGGCAGGGCCGGGGAAGAAGGAGGCCCTGGTGCTCAGGGAGAATTTGCTTCTGTTCTGGTTTTGCTTTTGTTTTTTGAATTTCTGATATGAGTTACACCTCCAATCCGTTTTTTGTTTTGTTTTTAGTGTTTGGCCTTTCATTTATAAAAAGAGCAATTTTAATCAGTTTATGTAACTTACACAGGAGCAAACTCTCATAAAAGAGAATTAGGAAAAAACATTTAAAAATGTTTCCTTTTCAAATGGCATTAAAATGGCATATTTTTGTAATACTAAAATTTAGAACTTTCTGCGTGTTATATTTTTATTTTTTACTTATTCATTTTCAAAATTTTCATTTTTTGGTACTGGGGATGAAACTCAGGACCTTGTGCTTGTCAGGCAGATGTTTATGCCGCTAAGATACAACCTCAGGCTAAAGTTTTCATTTGTATTTGCCCTAGTTTTTAGTTCATCGTGAGCACGCTTATCATGAACAGACTGCGTCTAAATTCTTTGCATGTCCCTAGCTCTGGCTTGAAGTGTTTCTGTTTTCTTTTTTAACTTTGGGGACAGGGTCTCACTAAGTCACTGTCACCCAGACTGGGCTCACCTGGAGTGAGACCTTCCTGCCTCGGTCTCCCAGAGTGCTGGGATTAAAGGTATGCACCGCTGGGCCCCGACTTTCTGTTGTTTAAAGTCCCCACTGTGGGTCATTTTGCAACAGCAGGTCTCAGGGAGACCGCACAGAGGCCCCGCCTGTCTCCCAACCCGTCACCGTCCCTGTCCTCCGTGGGTACGGTGCCCAAGCACAAGGCTGTCTCCTGGGGACTCCTCCTCCCCGCGCCCGCTGGAGAACCCTGCCCGGGCCTGCTGCGTCCATGGGCGCCGCTCTCCCTCCGTACAGCACGAAGCAGAGCAGCCTGCGCTGCCACCGAGGGCCGCGGGAGGGCGGCAGAGACCCCCCCCCAGCTGAGCCGCTGGGGTACCGGGGCCTGGAGACCTGAAGCCGCCTCCTGCCCTGCGACGCGGCCCCCTGCTGGCCACAGCTGGGAGCGCAGCGAGGCCCTGGCTGCGGCTCTGCAGCTGACCTCCGCGCCCTGGGCGAGGCCAAGTCCCGCCCGGGCCAGTGAGCGCCGGCTGCCTTGAGTCCGCTGTTATCTGTGTGCAGAGCGGGTCCTTTGGGGCTGCCCCTGGGCCTCCCGCCCCCCAGACCACACCGGGGTGGCTTGGCCTGAGAGGGCCAGGAAGGCCCCTGACCTCTGTCCTCTTAGGCCTAATCCCCTCTGGCAGGGCAGCGCACGAGCAGGAGAGTTGAAGCTTAGAGACGCTTGTTGGTTCCCTGCCTCGCCGCGCTCCATGCCCAGATCTTTCTGTTCTACTTTCTACAGTTCTGATACAGGCCTTTGCCAAGTGGCCCAGGCTGGCCTCCAACTTGTGATCCTCCTGCCTCAGCCTCCTGAGTGCTGGGATCACAATGCTCCCCCAGCACGTTAAAGTCCATTTCTTACACAGCTTTCCCCTGTAGGTATAGAACCTCTAGAGACAGGTGTAAATGGCCAGGGGAGAGTCATCCCGAGCCTCACTTCCAGAGACACTCACTGGGTTCCCATGGGCGTGGCCTCTCATAATCTAAGTAAATAATTTACAAGGTTCGGTAATCAGATCCTCTGCCTTCTCTGTTCAGTGGCACAGCTTTTGAAGGAAAGGGATGGGAGGATACGAACAGGTACTGTTGGCCAGGCTGTTCACTGCGAGTGGACTCTCCCTTACACAAAGCACTTGTGGAGCACCCTGCCCATACTCAGCCTCAGGTGGGGATTGTTTTCAGCAGATGAAGGCAACAGCCTTGGGCATCCGCCAAACTCACCCTCCTTTCCCACTGTGTGGGGGCCCTGGCAGGATCCAGGGCTTCCTGCAGAGCAGGCCCTGACTGACGCCTGGAGATCTCCTCCCAGCCGGCGCTGCCTGAGGCTGAGGCTGAGCTGTTAGAAATGCATGGGTTTGGCCTGGAGGGAAGGGTCCCAAGTCCAGCCCCACCGGCTCAGTTCTGGTGCCAGTTCTGCACCCTCTCTGGGCTCATCCCCATCTGTGAAGCAGGCAGCAACTGTGTCCTCCAGGAGTTCTGACGCAGCTCATGGTTGCAGAGGGCACGGTCCATGGTCAGCTGCTCCAAGGCAGGAAAATCATGGCAGAAGTGGGCCGGAAACATAGGGAGGGAAAAGCTGGGGAGGCATGGGGGCAGCACATGCAGCACATGCCCCCCAAGGCCATGTGGGTGCCCCCCTTATGCAGCTAGCTCTGCCTTCCAGGAGGCAGGCCCGCCAAGGAGCCCATGGATGGCCTGACCCACTTGACGCAGGCGGAGCCTCAGGATCTCAGCACTTTCCCTGGACCCCAGCCAGGGCCACATGGGCCTTTGGGGGGAGTCCCAGAATTCAAATTCAACACCACCTGTGCTCAGAAACAGGTAGAATCAGGTCAGAATCGTGAGGGTGTAGGCTCAGCACCTTCTCAGCTGTGCTCGTCCTGCACGTGAGCCACCCTGGCACATAGTGGGTCTGCAGGAAGACTTTCCGATGAGTCCTACACTGGGCTCCTGAGTGCCCTGTCCTGAGGCTACCAGCCCCTCCTGGGATGGGATGGGCCCCAGCTGCCCCCAGGTCGGGTCAGAGCCTCCCTGGGTGGTCGTGACCTGGGAACACGGCCCAGAGTGGGGCCTGGGCCTCCGCTGTTTGTGCCGTGCTGGCGCCAGCCCGTCCCCACCTGGCCCCGTCCATCTTGCTGCCCCTTCCTGTGTGCTTATTTACCCCATCCCGGAGCAGCACACAGAGGCTAAGGAGGCAGGCAGCCTTGGGGGGCGGGAGGGAGAGGCCGGCGCTGCTGCCACAGGAATCATCCCCTGGCTCCTCTTCCCCACTGCATGAAAGCTTTATCCCTTGAGTGGCCACGCAGAAATCCACAAAAGACACGTGTAGGGCGGGGGGTGCTGCCCTGTGCTAGGGCCTCCACCAGGCCTGGGTCCCCTCCTCAGCATCACAGGAAAAGACACACACACACACTCACACACACTCACACTCACATACACATTTGCACTCATGCGCACAGGTTGACAAACTCTAGGGCCAGCTCCTTCCTCTTGTAGACAGTAGGTGCCAAAGCAGTGCGTGTCTGCATGAAGGTTCGGCGGGCACAGGGAGCCTGCTCTCCTCTGTGGACTTGGTATCAAGGGACAGGGACTGTGCTCTGTGTTGTATGCGCATCAGGGTACACAGTGTCTTTCCCACACCCCACAAGTGCCCCCAAAGAGAACGGCCTCCCCAAAGCGTGGGGCTGTGCTGCCTGCACCGGGAGGGACAGGGCCACAGCATCCCCACCCACGAAGCGGCACACACGTGCTGTGTGGCTTGGCCGGCCGCGTGGGCAGCACCACATGCTGTCAGTTGCCTGGGCCTCCCTGGCACACACAGTAGGTGGACAGGATGTGTGCTCTTCCTGCCCTCAAGCTGCAGGGAAGGCCCAGGGGACCTCGCCTCTTTGAGGACCCCTTGGGCCAGCCTCACTTAGCTGGCTCCTGGGCCCATAAATTCCCGCGAAGGGAAGGAGAAACCACCCAGACTTGACGTCAACGCAAACAGCCTAATTGGGCCTGGAGCCTCATAATTCTCAGAGTCCAGG